TTAAAAATGCAATGCGTAACATTCAGTTGTGCGCGGTTTAAAGCGAAGCATATTTTATATATATGGAAGAACACCACTGCAAAAATAATCTGTTTCTGAAGCAAAGTGAGGTTTGATGTGAATGAGAGTGACGCACCTTATTCCTCATCATCTGGTGGGATGCCGAGTTCCTCATCGGTCCATTCAGAAGCATTGGGCCAGGGGAAGTGACCCTGCAAAAAACAAAAAAAAAACAGGTATGCATCTTTCCTTATCTTGTTTAAATCTTCATGCTGCTAGCTCTGACTTGGTCAACAGTTGAATGGAAGTAAACATCTCTGCAGGGCTGTGCATCCCTCTGCTCTTTAATGGCCTCATGATTTGGCTGCAGATATTTTGATCTGAGGTTTTAGTTTAAATTTGCTCTAATGAATTTCCCTCCCCAGGGTTTCATAATGGGAAGTCAAAGCAATTAACTGGATGTTTTTTTAATTCTGAGGTCCATTTCCTGCTTACAGCACCTTGCAGATAATGGAGGAAAAAAAGCTAATGTTTAGTTTCAACCTTTTGCAGAAAAATCTCTTTGGATCCATCAGGCTTGGCATCTATTTTACTATTTAATCTCACTTCATGTGCTGTTGTCAGTTATGCCTCAGAATTATAAACTAATGGTTTTATGCATGCATACTCACCAGAACTGCATCTGGATCATGCCAGCAGTGCCAGAGGATCCAGAACCACATGACTCCACTGATGAGCTCAGACTCTATCTTCTGTTTCTTGGTCAGCTGGGGGTACTGTCTGTACTGCGGCTCAATGTGGGGTCCGCCGCTGGCCCTGACGGTGAATAACAGAATAAAAACACGCGTTCAACGTCCGTATTCAACCACGCTGCACTAAAATACTTTTTTAATACACGTCCTGTGGATTTATGGTGAGATTTTTTAAAATAATTTCATATTCTTCGGGTTTTTCTGCGGCTAACGCTGTAGCTAGCTTACTTTCTGCTGGTTATCCTTCCTGGATTCCTCCTGAGCAGCCGACTTCCGGTCCGCAGGACTCCTAACGCTCTTCCAAAGGAAGACATAGTCGTTAACTTCTTAAAACCCCGTCCTGGAGGGGTTCAGGTTGGGGAAAAAGTCCTCCCGAAGTCACCTTCCCTCGTCTTGTCAATAAACGACCTCGGGAAAAGCAGCTCCGCTTCACCAGGAAATGACGTAACGCTTTATTAAAACTAATTTATATCAGCGCCCCCTTACGGACAGGAGTAAACTCGTCACATTTGTTTTAATGTTGATTAATATGGAGGACCAACTCTGCCATATTTAAAAATAAATACAGACATAAATAAAGGCCCATAAATAAATAAGAATAAAAATAATTCCCCAAAAAATACATAAACTAATAAATGTGGGTAGAAATTAAATTAT